GGATTTTTGCATCTATGTTCATTAGTGAGATTGGTCTGTAGTTCTCTTTTTCAGTTGGGTCTTTCTCTGCTTTGGGGATCAAGGTGATGCTTGGTTCCAGGAATGAATTTGGGAGTATTGCTTCCCTTTCAATTTCATTGAAGAGTTTAAACAGTCAAACTGTTTATATAAGATAACTTCATAGGCACCTGAACCCACCTGTCAGGCTGCTACCTTACCAGCTCTACTCCATCCAGCTCTAACCTCTCCTGTCCCCTAACATAACATCAGAAGCCACTGGTTAGAACCTGGTCTAGGAGCCTGGCCAGTGAACTTGGATAAAATACTTCAGCCTGACATAACAGTTTCCTCATTTGTAAACATAGAATTTATAACTTCTACCTGATCACACCATGGAGATTAAAAACAATAATATCAAGAATAAAATGTATGGGATGATACCTGGCAGGTAGAGAGCATTCAGTAAAAGGAAGGGGCTGTTATTATTTCATTCTGCCTTGTTTTGGTGGATTTCTGATTGACCAGTTTCTCCCTGCCTACCTCCAAATGGATTTACTAGATACTGACAGATGTGTAAACATTACAAGGAAACTGTTAAAAAGAGGAAAACGTAAGGTGATAGGAAGATAAAAGAGCCAAAAGCAGTACCGTCGTCACACTGTGGCTCACAGGGCACACACCAGAAATTGAATGAGGCTTTGTGGCAGCTACTTGCCCCATTTCCACTGTTCTGCCAAAGCCCCTGATTTCTGGTCCTAAGACCAAAAAGGCGGTGCCGCAGGGATCCTCTATAAGAAGGAGTGCTGCTTAATAACTCCCATCCTCAAGGACCTGCAATGTAGGTTGAGGGTGGGACCCAGGGTATTATATAGGGAGCAAACAGATTGAAGACTAGGAGACAGTTTGGTTCAGTAAAGATACAGTCCCACTCCCTGCTGTTCTGGGGGAATTTGAAAGTATCAGGAGGAAAGATTGGGAAATCAGATGCTGCAGGCAGGGCTCCAGGCCCACTTTCCTAGAGAGATGAATTTGTTTTTCTTTTTTTTTTTCCTGTACTGGGGATGGAACCCAGGGCCTCTCACATGCTAGGCAAGCAGCACTCTACCACTGAGCTCCAGCTCCAGCTCCAGCTCCAGCAGGGATTTTGATAAAGATTGGGATGAATGTGAATGAAACCATTCTCTTTGCCAAGTGTTTGGTATTTGCACCTCCTCTGCTTTGTCACTTGGCAGGCAGGCAGGGCGAGAGGCACACATCTTTCATGGATGTCAGGGAACCTAGTAATGATGGAAATAGAAGTAACATCGTTGTCATTGTACAGCTGTGGTAGGATGTATTCTCAGCTTGCCGTGTGCCAGGCTCTGCACTGTAAGATTTATAGAGATCGTGTCATTCATAGTAACCTTGTAAGGTAACACTTGTGTTATTCTTGTTTACAGATGAGCAGACTGAGGTCAGACATTGAATAACTTGCCTGAGATGATATAGCTAGTGAGAGAAAGAAAGCCATCCCACCTTCCCCCAGAGATTAGCCAGGGGGAGGACCCAAGGACTAGGCTACGGTTCTGCTCAGAAAGTCTCACACAGGCTGTGCTGGGATTTGAGTTGGCTGGGCAAACCAGCATTTCTGCCTCTGGTTAGTGAGCTCTTAGAGGCTTGTGGGCTGTGTGCCTCTCTCTGTTGCCTTGTTCACAGTCTGGAGCCAGACTCTTGGTGGGGCCTTCAACAACTGTATGTGGCCTCAGATTGAATTCAGTCTTCCTAACAGGTTGTAGTGCCTCCTGGAGTGACAGAGTCCTCTTTTCAAGTAACATCTCAAAATGTTGGACAAGTGACCATTTATCTGCATAGAAATCATTCCAACCAGACCAGGTAGTTGGGCCTCTGCTCCCACCTATGTGGAATTAAATGATGGAAAGGGAGGTTGCACTGGGCGCAGAAGTGGGGCCTCAGTTCATCCCATCCCCAAATCCCCTTCTAGCTCAAGGATACTCTTCTTTGTGATCCGAAGCAACATCATTAGCATCATAAACCAAGTGATTGGCTGGATCTATTTTATGGCCTGGTCCATCTCCTTCTATCCTCAGGTGATCAAGAACTGGAGACGGAAAAGGTAAGAATGGGTGCCTTAGTGGGGCAGCAGGTAGCAGATGCACTCTCCTCTTTCCTTTGACTGCCCTTGCAGGAAAGCTGTTCTGATGGGAAAGCTCTATCTAAGAGCCTAGGTAGGACCTCCAGGGCTGGGCATTTGGTCCCTTGCCCAGTCCAGCCCATTCTAGGAAAACAGCAACATGAGACTTCTCAGCTAAGCCAAGACTGGCTGGGTAGGAAAAAGGCCACCAGAGTCTCCTCAGCCCTACAGATCAAGTGTCACAGCATACACCTGCAGCCCTGGAGACAAAGCACTTCCACTGTGATTTTAGAAAAAGTGAGTGTAGGCCTGGAGTCACATCTTTGTGAAGCAAGGACACAAACTCTTGCAGTCACCCTAGCCATGTGGGCTTCTTAGCAGAGAGTCAGGGAGGGAGATGCTGCCTCTCTGCAGGAGGCCTCCATACCTCCCAGTCCAGGACTGGAGGAGCAGGAGAAATCTCAGGAGCAAGGGAGGAAAGGCAAGAACCTGCTCTCAGGAAGATGGGTTGGGTGGCATCAACTGTGGTATGGAGAGGGACCTAAAGACAGTGCTGTCCTTGTGACCAGCAGAGCCCTCCTTCCCTTGTGTGCCAGGAGCTCTGTCCCTTCCCACTGCAGTGGTCCCAGGCCTCACCCCTGCCCTGCTTCATCCTCTCTGCCCCCTGCAGTGTTGTTGGTCTGAGCTTCGATTTCTTGGCCCTGAACTTGATGGGCTTCGCGGCCTACAGTGTGTTCAACATTGGCCTCCTATGGGTGCCCTACATCCAGGTATGACACTGCCCCCCACACACAGCCACCCAGACCACTAGACAGCCAGGCTGCCCCTCACCTCCCAGCTTCTCCCCACCCCTAACAGGAACAGTTTCTCCTCAAGTACCCCAACGGTGTGAACCCGGTGGAATATAATGACGTCTTCTTCAGCCTGCACGCAGTTGTCCTCACCGTGATTGTCATCATACAGTGCTGCCTCTATGAGGTAAGGAATGAGACCTGAGCCTAGCCCACTTAGGACTGCCTGAGCCAACACCCGCCCCGACCCAACCCTCATGCCACCCACCACTGCCACCTGCCATTCCACCTAAGACTCAGACTCCTCAGAAAAGACATTTTCATTCATTCAGCATCTGCTTCCCAGGCCTAGGCCATGACCTAGGCCTGAGCTGGGTGGACACAAGGAATACCCCCTCAACCCAAGCCCTCAAACCGCCCCCCAAGTCTGAAGTGAGGGACAGAGAGAGGCAGGCTGAGAGCTGTGTGGAGGGGGACACACAGCCATGGAGCCGAGTGGAGGCCAGGACCAAGCCTTAGAGGTGGAAGAGAGAAAGTGTCAGGAAAATGACACCTGTAGTCCAAGGGGGGGACATTCCTGTGGTAAACAGGAAGGGGTCAGGAACAGAATTGTGGAGGCCAAGCAGCATTTGGGAGGAAATGTGAGCAGATGGGGCTGGTCAGGGTCAGGGTCAGGGTACCGGTGGGGGAGCCACCTGCTGAGAGAGGTCAGGAGGAGCCTGGACTCAGGCTTGATGCTAGGGGACCATCAGAGTCTCCATAGTGAGACCCCTAAGGCAACAGTTTTGCTTTTCCTCCCCTGTGGTTGTGCCACTCCCTCAGGGAGTTCCCTTCATGTTCTCTAAGGCCAGAGGGGGCTGTGTGGCTTCCACCTTTGTGAACCTTCTAGGTCTTCCTACCTTTGTTCTGATGCTTTAGTGAAGGAGGCCCACTTTGGAGCCATGTCTGAAGAAAGGTTGGTGTGGTGGACAAAATCCAGAGACCCTCTCACTCCATCCTTTCGTTTTTGTTTTTGTTTTTGGGTACTGGGGATTGAACTTGGGTCCTTGTGCTTGTGAGGCAGACGGCGGAACCACTGAGCTAAATCCCCAGCCCACACCCTATCCTTTCACTTGGCCTCCAGTGTTGGATCTTATGTCCCTGGCAACCTGAGCTCCTTCAGAATAAGTTCTAGAAGCCCCCAGCTCTGCAAAGTGGGACTAGAAAGTAGATGGGAGCCAGAGAATCCAAGATGGACAGAGCAAGAGGCCCTGATAGTAAAAGAGATGGGGTTGGTGCTGAGGGCAGGAGAGGCCTGGCACCTTACCCACTCATTCCATGATCCAGATGGAGCCCAAGGATCTGTCCCCAACCCTGCCTTTCCTTGGACATAGCAGCCCAAGTTCGGGCCACACAGGCTGTGTCAAGGCCAAATCTCCCCTTCAGCCCTCCCCAAACCCCTTCTTCCACACCCACCCAGTCCATCTGTGGCCATTCCCTCCTGAGACCTTGCAGCAGCCTCTGGCCCATCTGCAACCCTGCCCCTCTCCATCTCATCCTCAGCGAGGCAGCCAGCGTGTGTCATGGCCTGCCATCGGCTTCCTGGTGCTCGCATGGCTCTTCGCAATCATCACCATGATTGTAGCTGCAGTCGGGGCAACCACATGGCTGCAGTTTCTCTTCTGCTTCTCCTACATCAAGCTCGCTGTCACGCTGATCAAGTACTTCCCACAGGTACTTCAGGGCCTTCCTGCATTTCCATACAGCTGGCAGCATGAGAGAAGGTGAGAGGTACTGACCCTGGGGTCTCCCTTGGGCCAGCTCTTGCTAGGGCAAGGAGATGAGGGTGGAAAGCTGCAGTGGAGCTGGTGAGCCCAGACTGGCAGAGCCCTGCTCACATAGGAAGTTGGTGGAGGCTCTCAGACCTCAACGCTCCCAAGTCAGGTTGGGTAGGTCTACCTTTGACTGCCCCTCAATACCACGGTGGCAGTGGGAGAATCAGAAAAGAGTAAGCAGAAGGAACCTGAGCCCCGCAGCCACCTTCTAGGGAGAAATGTTCTCCCCGGTTGTCCATCAGCACCTTCCCATGAATCCTAGTGCTCCTGTCCAGGTCTGGAGACTTAAGAGTCAAACACATCTTACCCCACAGGCATAATGGCCCAAGCCAGGGGCTGGTATGAACTGGCTGCCAATTGCATACTTCCTGCAAATCTAGGACCACATTTAACTCATCTCTGAGCGAGAACCCTTCAGAGGGTGTATGTTTTGCTTACACAGGGAGCTTTGTGTCCCATAAGCTCAGAAAGGAGAGCACTGGCCAGGAATAGGGCTAGAGCCTGAGGGAGTCAGCACTTGGTTCAACAGCCCTGCAGGCCAGGCAGCTTACGCAGGAGTCCAGCTGCCTGAGCAGCACTGAGAATGTTGAAGCTGGGAACCTAGGGTTGGTTCCAGAAGCGTTGGGATTCTGGGGAGCGGAGAGTCTCTGGGGAAGTGGCCTCCATCCCTGTATGTGGGACACCTTGGGGCTGGGAACCTGGGAGGCAGGCACCCCAGTGGGAGATACTGGAATTGGCTGGGCCTGGAGAGGTAGCAGCAAATATGCAAGTGGGTGGGAGAGGACAAGGATGTGGACCTGAATCTCACCAGAGGCCAAGCCCTCCCTCCCAGGTAATAGGAAGACAGATGGAGCCAGACAGAAACCCAGAGGGCACAATAGATCTGGAGGAAAGCAGCTGTAGGACCAAAGTAGTAGAAAGAGGAGAGTGTCCGAGCAGACCCCTAGATCTGGGAAGCCAAGGAGGAGGCCCTGGAGTCCTATCATGGCTGAAGTGAAAGTTGGGTACACTCTCCAGATGGGGACATTAAGGTGAGGAAAACTCAGACTTGCCCACAGTAACACAGTTCCAGAGATGGAGCCGGGATTCACATGAGCAAGTCTGGCTCCCAGACTGTGTTCTTAAGCACAGTACAGAGTCCAGGCTGAGTCTGAGGACAGCTTCATTGGAGGTGAAAGGAAGAATCAGTCAGTGGGAACCCAGGATAGGGCATTGCCCGCCAGGGAGGGTGGAGAAGTTGGGCAGGGCAGGGCAGTACCCCTCACACAGACTGGAGTTGAGAGGTGCCAGGGTGGGAGGAGGCAGCTTTGCTTGCCATGCATGAAGTTGAGATCCCAGGACACCCAAATATTCTCTCGGCTGAGGCGTTGTTGGAGCCCAAAGGTCACAGTGTCCTTTGGAACTGAGGCCCAAGCACATGAGTGGGAGGAATCAGAGCTGCCCTTGTTTGGAGTGGTGGTCACAAGGCACAAGAGGCAGCCACCCAGCCCCCTCACAGCCTTCCATCTGTCTGTCTGGCCCAGGCCTACATGAACTTTTACTACAAAAGCACCGAGGGCTGGAGTATTGGTGGTGTGTTCCTGGACTTCACAGGGGGTAGCTTCAGTCTCCTCCAGATGTTCCTCCAGTCCTACAATAATGGTGAGTCAGCCAGAGGGCTGCCCCCCTGCCCAGTGAGTGGGGGCCCAGGGTCAGGCCAGGCATCCTGGGTCTCCCTCCAGCCCAAGTCAGGCAACCTAAGAATCTAAGCTGATCCTAACCCCAAAAAGAGACTTCCTGGGGGCTCCTGCAGCTAGAAGAGGTGCATTTCCTGGGTGGATGGGGATCCCCAACCTCCCCAACCCCGACCCCAGTCCCCAGTCCCACATGCTCCAGTTGCCTCAGGAGCTGCTCTCTAAAACTGAATTCTGTCCCTCTGGCTGTTAACAGACCAGTGGACATTGATCTTCGGAGACCCAACCAAGTTTGGCCTAGGCATCTTCAGCATCTTCTTCGATGTTGTCTTCTTCATCCAGCACTTCTGTTTGTACAGAAAGAAACCAGGGTACGACCAGCTGAACTAGCACCCAGAGACTCGGTGTAAACAGCTGGGGCTGTGGCTCTGGTTGGGGAAGGCTGCACCCCACAAAGACCAGAGAAGTGGCTGGGATGCAGGCTGGTTCAGTGTGCCAACAGAGAAGCGCTGTCTCGCTCAGGGCCAAATGCCTTAAATGCAACCAACCTGCCTTTGCTGGGCCCCTCCTGGGCCACAGAGGATCCTCCTTCTGGGCCACAGAGGATCCTCCTTCTGGGAGAGACACCTGACTGTGCTCCGAGACTAAAGCAGGACCTCAGGCAGCCCCTCCCAACCTCCCCAGAGGTCTCAGTCCTGCCAGGCCTCATGGGCAGGGCACCTGGCCCTCTTGCATCTTGATGCACCATCTCTCTTTCCTTTAAGCCTTCAGGCAGCATACACAGGTCCTGACAGCCATCCCAGGCAGAATCTGATGCTGAGCCTGCAACCGAAGGCCTTGCCTCAAACAACCAGTGTTTCTGGGAGCAACTTGAAAGGCTGACCTTGCAATCAGGAAAGAACAAGGGTGCCTTGCTGTGCCGATGGACTCAAAGGTGCCAGTAGTGGAGAGTCAAGGACTTCGGGGTTAGGCCTTGCAGTCCATCCTCTGAAAGCCACATTCCAGACACCTGCTCATTCTACGTAACTCCACTTCCATGACTGCAGTAACAGGGCCTGGTAAAGACTATTCCTGAGTCCCTGTAAGATGGTTCTGACTAGTCTCACACCCAGTGCCCTCTGGATCTTTACCATAGTCAGATACCACACTAACCCCTTTCAGTTTTTGGAGGGATGTTTTGGAAACGGCTTACTCTCTTTTGCCTTCTATCCTACCTCCACATTCTGAGAGACAGATAGGGCCTCATCTGAGTGCCCCTGTTCCTAACCCAGCACCTGGAGAGCAGGACACACCCTCTACCAGTCTGTGCCTTACAGGCCTGTTAGTCCTGCCAAGTGGTGAGAGTAGCTCCCCTGGAAGGGAGGGCAGGCCCCTTCCCTTTCTTTCTCCAGACCCCTACATGAGATTCCAACTTTTTGGTTATAGAGGAACCCCAGAAAACTTGAGATCCCCTGAACACAATGCTTATGGACCCAACCCTAGTCTCAAAGCTCCTTCCCTCCCACCCCAAGCTGTTATCCTACAGCAGGAGGAGACGGACCCAGGATGTGCCTTATAAATGCCTTGAGCTTATCAATCCACTCTTTTTTTATTCAAGACCAATGCAAGGGGCCTGTATCCTTTTGCAAAACTTGGCTTTTCTGCATACTCTGAGCATTTGCTGGATGCAGAAAGCAGGTATGCTGGCCTTCAGAACCAAGTCCTTGGGGCTTAGGAGCCACCTTTGCTCTCCTGTGAAGGCAAGCATGGGGCTGTGGAGTTCATTGACCCCAGGTGTCTGTATGCTGAGCCTCCGCTTCATCAGGGGAAGCCCCTGCTGGATAGTACAAGACGCCTGCCCGTTCAGGGCCAGGTAGATCTGCCAGTACCAAGGCACAGGAGCTGCTCAAACCATAGATGTGAACAGGTTGGAATATTTAAGGGCACTGGAAGGAGGAACAGAAAAGGTCCTGCTGTAACAACTACCAAGGAATTTAAGGTGCTTTCTCTAGGGGAGAGATTGCAGCCTTAAGCCCACAGACCTGTTTGATTTCAGCCATCAAGTTATTTTTATAATGTGTGTTACTGGGCACTAGACTTTAAAAATGAAAGATTTCAAATTCTGGACTTTTCTTTACAAATCTGCTTTGGCAGTGCTAGGTAGGTCCAGAAGTGGCATTTTCTTCCCCAAACTGGTGGACAGAAGGCCATGTGCTTTCTGCCTCACCGTCTGACTAGCTTTTGGCCCCTGAAAACACCTGGAACCATGTCCCTGACTGTGGCTCAGGGCATCCTTAAAACTCTTAGGTGCTTTTCCCATGAACCCATGTGGCCGCGGGAGGCCCCTCTCAGGTAGCAGCTGAAGCTGAGTTACACAAGGGAAGTTAGGAACACTTCGGTGCTTCACAGCAACACTCAAAAAAAAACGCACTCCAGACACTCTCCACCCCGATTGCAGTGAAGGTGCTCTCAGATAAATAGGCCCTTGCCAAGGACACTGGGTTTCCACTGAGGCTTCTTTTTTTGTGCAGTGGTGAGGTGGAACCCAGGGCCTCACATTCGCTAGGCAAGCACTCTACCTGAGCAACACTCCAGCCCCTACAGCCACATGCTTTGAGTTGGGCTTTGTCCCACAGCAGCAGAGGACAGGCCAACATCCTTAAAACCAAAGCATTCATCCCAAGTCCACCTCCCAAGTACCATTACCCCAGGCCTCAAAAGACTTCTACAAATTCCAGCATTTTGTTTATTGGGCACAAGATGTCAGGTGTGGGGCAGCATCACACTGCCCATTTCCACAGTAAAGTAAGGCTTATTTATGTGCTAAGAGTAGCTGCTCCCAGATGTGAATTAGCAAGCTAACTTCAAAAGAATTGGCATCTCCAAGTATTAAGATAAAAATGATTTGTATCAAAGTTGTAATTTAAAAAAATACAAAAGTTAAACTGACAGGCACAAAGAAAAGTGGCAATCCTGAGAGCTGCCCAGAAATGTCAGCCTTGAGCCTCATTTAAATCCTATAAGCGGGCAAACCCTGGGGAGACCAGCACCCCTCAGGGCGGGGAATGGGAACCTGCTCGTTTCCATCCAGGTGAACCTTCATAGTGCCTCTGGCAGTGTGCGGGTCCAGCCCCCACCAGGCAACATGGTGGGTGAAGTGTGGGACATAGGCACCTCAGAGGTGACATGAGGGCTGGGCCAAGCCCTGTGGCCAGGGGTGAATCGGGAAAAGCTGGCCCCACCTGGCATTCCCCAGCTTTGGCAACTCTGAGAAAGTAGTGTTTCCTGCGAGCCTGGACTCTGCAGCAGCCAGGCAATAGGGTCTGGGGGCTGAGCCTGTGGTCAGTACAGACCAGCTATCACTCAGCTCCAGGCCCCTGTTTCCAATCCTCAGTGTCCAAGGGGGAGAGAGGGTCCCAGAGCCTTGGCCTGGGAGTGGGAACAGAAGGCAGCTGGCTCAAGCCTCTGGGATCAGCTCTGCCCTTCTGATGTGGGACCCAGCACGCAGCAGAAACCAGGAGGAGCAGCAGACAGAGTGTGGAAGTGGGGTCACTGTACAAACAGGTGGCAGGCACGAGTTGGGACCATGGCCGGGTGCTAAGACAGCATGGACTGCTGCACCGCCTTCTGCAGCGACTGTCGTGTCACCAGCAGACGCACAACCTCTTCTGAGCGCTTGGTGAGCCGCTTCCGGGCTTGGTCGTGTGTGACCATGGTCATGTCCCAGCCATTCACCTAGCCCAGGGAGAGAACATAGCCCACCTCAGCTCCTTCACCTCCCAGATCTGGAAGCAGAGGGCTCTTGGTGGGGAGGGGGACCGGGGACACCTAAGCAGGCCCCCAAGCTGATATCCCAAACCCTGTACCAGAGCCAATGCTCACAGGAGAGCGCCAGCTTCCTCTGGGGCAATACCAGCATGGTTTCAAAAAACAGCTTTGGTGAGTCCCTCCCCACTGCAAGGCTAGGCCTGCCCCTTAACCCCAAGTACTTCAACCCCTCTTGGCCAAACTTTGCTTTCTTCCTTTGAGACACTTGTTACCTGCATGATCTTGTCTCCAATCTGCAGCCCAGCAATTTCAGCCGGGCCTCCTTCAGACACCCGTGTGACATAAATTCCCTGGAGAAAGGAAGCCCAGGTTAAACCCTGTGATTGCTGGACAGCGGAACTCAGCACGGTATACTCCCAGCTACCCCTCTGTCTCTGTGCCCAGCACCTCAACCCCTAGTATATCCAGCTGGTACAGGCTGTGCAGAGACAACCAGGGGGAAGAGTGACTGCCCCAGAGGTGCTCCAGTTCATGCTAATGGCTGCCTCCTCCTCCTCCTAGGCTGTCTGATCAAGACGTACTAGGCCTCAGAGGAACACTCCTTACCCCCAGCCCTACTTATTCCCATTGATCATTTCATGGACCCTCTTAGGATTGTCTGAGAGAATGAGCCCTGTGCCTTCCAGAAGGCTCAGGAAGCAAGGACTCACCATCTCAGCCGTCTGTGCCCTACACAAGGTACAGGACCCTAACCCCCTCACCTTATCTGTCTTGTCTTCAGAGAAAGGATTCTGAGAGGGATCCTGGTCAATTCCACCTCCAATGCTGAAGCCCAGAATTAAGTTCTCTCCTTGTCGAAGCTTGTGAATTTCAACTCTTTGCTGGCAAAGAAAAAAAGCAAGTTGAGCTAGGTGGGTGAGTGGAGAATGAATCTGGTCTGTGTCCCCAACAGCAGCCCCAGCTGCTGGGCCAGCTCGAGCTATGCCCAAGGGGCGGGCCGCAGGACCCTCTGCAGGAATCCAGCTGGTCATCAGCCTGGGAAGGTGGGGGCGGGCGCGCACGTTGGAACTCAAAACTTGGCCACATGGACCTACATACTGCATAGCCCTCCGCCCTCAACCTTTCCCCTATTCCTCAGCCTTGGTCAAGATGTGGTCTGAGCCCCTCCTAGCCCAAGAGCTACTGTCCTGTAGCTTCTATGGATGGGAAGTCCGCCTTTTCCAGGAAGGACTACACAGGGCAGGAGGGGCCAGGCCCTGAAAAGATGTAGATCTCTTGCTGAGGCAGGTAATTGCTGAGGCAGCCCAGTCACGAGGCATGACAGGAGGCACTCGGAAAAAGATCAAACTTGCACAGAAGGGAGAAGGTCTGCTGACCAAGGGAAGCAGAACAAAAGCTTAAAGGTGCTATGGATCCATGTTCTTGAGACCAGTGTACACCATGCAGGATGCAGAACTGGGAGGTGAGATGGGTTGAAAGTCTGAGGCTGAGGCATCAGGAAGGCTATGGGATGCAGGCCCCAGGGACTCAACCTAGATTGCGGAGGGGGATCTCCTGAAGTCCCAGACCCTGCTCTTGTGCAATGTTTAGCATATCCTAGGACTCTCCCATCACACTCAGGGACTTAGGTCCCCAATTGTGCTGGGCGCCTTTCAGAGCCCTCAGCAGGTAAATGCTCTAGTCACCAAATGCTGGGAGCCAGACTAGATCACCTCAGAAGCTCAAAGTTTTAACCTGAAGAGGAAAACAGCAAAAGTCAACTTGATCTGAATATGAAAAGGCTTCACAAAGGAGAGATCGTTTGCACCAGGTCTTGAGGGGATGATGGGTAGTAAGGTGCCTGCCTTTGACACTGAGCCCACCGGAACTCAAGAGAGTTGGGGAGTAGGGCAAAAGGCATGGTCAGGTTTGGTGCTGCAACAGCCATGCTGGTAGTTAGCAGGGGAATGGATATCACAGAAGTGGGATGGGGATTCCAGAGGACATGAGCTACTTAGAAACTGAGATCCACAGACTTGGAGACTGCTCATGGAGGCAAGGAATCAAGCACCCAGGCACCTGGCCTGACTGAACACAGCCATCAGATGGGGACCCAAGGGGAGGCCCATGTGGAGTTGGAGTGCCGGCAGCTATCTGCATAGGTGTCCAGAAGGGAGACCCGTGGAGCCAGAGTTCAGAGGAGGGGCCAAAATGGCCATAACACTGAAAATGTTAACTACAGGGGAGAAGGACAGACTGGGGAGGTAATTTCCCCCACCCTATCCCCAGTACAAGACGGTGAGAGGCCAGACCCCACCCACCATGGTTAGGCAGGCTCCTGGTAAAGGAATTGGAGGGTTTGGGTCCTACAGCTTTGAGATAGACCTAAGGTGGGCCATTTATGTGAAGGAGGAGGGGCAGGAAGCACAATGCCTGAGGCCCACTCACCTGGGGCCTCTGCCCAAAGATGTGAGTGAGCTCCAGGCCTGCTCCAACACACACAGGCACACCCACCCCCGAGGTCAGAAAAGACGCCCAGTCACTGACTTGCTGGGAGAACTCAGGTAGCAAGGTGGTGCTCTCTGGCTTCTCACTGGCGCCTTTTTTGCAGCTAAGGAGCAAACCTACACCCTTCTAGAGGGATCTAGAAAAGCCAGTCTGGTGCAGGCAGGGTGAAATTTAGAACGGCTGTCAGCTGGTCCTGCAGTGTTTCCTTCTAGCTCAAGCCTGAACTGGTGAGGCTCTAAACTCTTCTCACATGCCACCTTTATCAGTGGTTATTTTGCTCCCGCCCTCCTGACTAGCACACCCATCTGAGATGCCACCTTCAGTCCCTGTGGCTCCAGGGCTGGGACTTTCACTTAACCCACTGCCTGCCAGGCAGTCATTTCTTCTCATTTTCTGAAACCTCTGTGGATCTGGGCTGGAGATCTGGGACCATCCCGAGGGCTTCTTTTATGAATCTGGCGTCATTTTTATGAATCGACTCAGTTTCACCACCTTTCCCACAAGGCTGGCCTCCAAGTCCCATCAGGCTGTGTCACTGGCATCTAGGTCTACTATCCCAGTCTCCCTTTGCCTATGCTGAAAGCACCCTACACCCAAGACAAACCAAGAAAGTGGCTATAAGCCTGGGCTCACTCCTAAAGAGGTACTCTGGCCTCAAGTGTGGGGCGCGGGACTTGAACTTTGCCCCAAGGCCTGGGGTAAAAGGCAAAGTTCAGACAAGGATCAGGCCAGTTGTACGCATATTCGCTGTGGACCCAGCAACGGTTGGGTCCCTGGGAAGAGGCTGAACGGTAAGGGATAAGGGGCTTCTACCGCAGGCGCGGGCAGCTCTATCCCCCAAATCTCTCTCCGACGGGCGGTGGCGGCGGCTGGAGCGGAGGAAGCGCTTCCTCATTCCAGAGGCTGCGCCTCACAGACGCCGGGGCTGGCGCCCGCCCCCCGCAGCTACCCAGCTGGGGACACAGAGGCCCGGGTCGGGGGCTCTTTCCCAGACTTACGCAGCCGAGGCCTTTCTCCGTCCTCCCGGCCGCGGCCGCCTGGGAGGAATCCACCCGGCAGCGACAGTACACTGGGTCTGGCCCCTGAGAGGGTCTCGGTAGACTCTTGGGTCCTAGCCCTCTGTTTCGAGGGTAGACGAGGCTACAGCACTGCTCCAGGAGAGAAGATCAGGGCTCTGGCCACCGGTTTGCACGCAGGAGCCCTGGGTTCGACGCTTTGTCAACCTGTTTTTGTGTCAGTTTACCGCTCTGCAAGCAAAGACGAGAGGGAGCCCGCGCGAGTACACTCACCACCACGGCGGTGACCGGCTGACCCGGGATGTAGGACATCTCGATCCCAATCTGGCAAGCAACTACCGCTCGAAGAATCCCGCAGCAAGAAACCCCGCGACCGCGACCGCGCCCTCGCTAGTTAACAAAGGCATCCCGGTTTGGCCCGCCCCCTCATGAATACTTAATAAATCTTTAGCCAATCAGCGGTCGGAGCGCTGTTCGGCTTTCGGAAGTCTCGTTGCGCGCGTAAAGAAGCAAGAAAGGGCGGAGCATAGGGGAGGAAGGGCGGGTCGAAGGATTTGCGCATGCGAGTTTTGAGCCCTCCCAGCTGCCTTCACGGAAAGATGGCGTTGCTGGACTCTCTATTGCTTCCTGTGTGAGGGAAAGCCAAGTGACTGTCTGTCCCCGCGTTCCAGGTAACTGGGAAAGCCTAGCCAGGGAATGCGCACATTGTGCCGACCCCCGGATGGCCCAAGCTCTCAGGTTTCTTGGCGTCTTTTGAAGATCCGAGAAGTGCTGGGTTTCGGAAGCCCCCCCCCGGGGAGGGGGCGGGGTGAACCCAATTCGCGAAGCTTCTGGCGCCGCTTGTAACTTGGTTTTCTCCACAGCTCCGCGTCGTCAAGAAGGCAGAGGTTGAACCGGCAGATGCGATGGCAGCGGTGGTGGCCAAGCGGGAAGGGCCGCCGTTCATCAGCGAGGCAGCTGTGCGAGGCAACGCCGCGGTCCTGGATTACTGCCGCACCTCAGTGTCAGCGCTGTCGGGGGCCACGGCCGGCATCCTCGGTCTCACCGGCCTCTACGGCTTTATCTTCTACCTGCTTGCCTCCATCCTGCTCTCCCTGCTCCTAATTCTCAAGGCGGGAAGGAGGTGGAACAAATATTTTAAATCACGAAGACCTCTCTTTACAGGAGGCCTCATCGGAGGCCTCTTCACCTACGTCCTGTTCTGGACATTCCTCTACGGCATGGTGCACGTCTACTGAAATGAGGGCAGGGGTGACTTTTTGAAGAAAAAACCAGATCGGGAAGACTGCTGTCAGAAATTAACACCGTGTAGACTTACTTAGTTTTTAAATTGTTGAATTCGCTGTTTGTTCTGTAACGTTATAAATAATTTATATCTGAAGACAGAGAGCCTGTAATATTCTTCAGATTAAATGAAGTGTGAGACACTTTGTGGAGTTCTTTCCTACCTTAACACGTGGTCTGCCACAGGTGCAGAATTGCCGACATTCCACTCCTGGAGAGCAGGCATTGGGCCATAGCCTGTAATTTCCCTGCATTTACACTTAAGCCCACCAGAGAGGGATCACCAGGGCTTAAGTAAAAAGAGTAAGTTAAATAACACTGTTAACATCGTTAAGAACTGATAACAGTTAATATTTAGTAGTGTTTCCTACATGTCAGGCATTGTGTGCCTTGTGCTTTTTATATCCATTATCTCATTTAATTTTTGCAGTAACCACGGAAATGCTACTGTTAACTCTCTGCTGATAGGAAACTGAGGCTCAGAGAAGTTAAATACCTCTGCCACAGGAGGCTCAGCTAGGAAGATGTGAAAGCAGAATACAGATTCAGATCTCTTTAATTTGTTCTTGTTGAGCCAGCCGGGCATGATGGCATATGCCTATAGTCCCAGCACTTAGAAGGCTGAGCCAAAAAGACTGCAAATTCTAGGCCAGCCTGGGCTACTTAGTGGAACGCTGGCTCAAAAAAATAGGGGCCGGGGATTTAGCTCAGTGGTTCCGCCACCTGCTTCGCCCCGGTACCAAAAAAATAATTATTTGCTCCAGTATTGGCTGAGTGTACCTTTTCACAGCCCAGTGTTCCAACTAACCACTATTTCCAGGTTTTAATGGAGTCAGTTCCATTTCATCTGGTCACAGCTAGTTGTCTTACCCATAAGAAAAAATGAATTCAAGCCTATTTTTCTAGAATATATCTTGTAAAAATTAAAGAGGTTATTTGGACTTAAATTTGGGGCTTATTGGAATAAATGCCTCTCCCTACGCTAATCCATGTGTGTGTGGTACCAGGAATTGAACTCAGGACTTTGGGCTTGCCAGGCAGGCGTGGTACCACTGAGCTATATCCCCAGCCCCTTGCAATCCTTTTCTATTATTTTAAAATGAAATACATATGTTGAATTGAGAAATAAATATTGCATTAGAATTATAGTTGTGAACATGTTGCTTATGGAATTTATAATTGGGGAAATTACCATTACTATATTTTTGTTTCTATTTTGGGGGGGGGGTTAACAGGGATTGAACTCAGGACCTTGTGCTTTCGAGGCAGGCGCAGTGCCACTGAGCTAAATCCCCCGTCCCCCAATTTATTTTTCACCATTACCAAATTTTACAAATATTTAAATTATATTAAATGCTATGAAGAGTGCACAGAACAGTCAAGGTTGGAAATGGGGGTGAAAGGTTGCTTTGAGGAAATAACATATCTCGAGATGTGAAGGCAGACGGCAGCCAAGTAAAGTGTGGGGAAGAGGCTATTTGACAAAAGAGCATGTGGGAGGGCCTGGGCAGGAAGGAACGTGGCCCTTTTTTTGGAGGGTAAGAGAAGAGGCCATGAGGTAGACCTGGGCCAGATTGTGGAGGCCCGTGTTGGGAGTTTTGCCTTGATCCTGTGAGCAACTGGGGGAAGCCTTTGGAAGTTTTTATCAGGAGTAATGCGATCAGACTTGGATTTTTAAAAAACAGTTTTAGATTAGAAGGGGATCTGAAAAAAATAAAAAATAAATTAAAAAATAAAAAAAAAAAAGAAGGGGATCTGAGAGCTTGAGCTAAAGTCCCCTGTTACACACTGTAGGTGGCCTGTGCCCAGAATGAAAATGGATCTGGGACCCAGAACTGAGTTCCATTTTTTATTCTGGACCATATTTTTGCACTCCAAGCCACAAAGAACCTGAGGCCACAGCTTTGCCTCCTTGTCCTAAAGACCCCTTTTTCTGTCCACTTAAAATCCTGACATGGTTTGTATGCCAGGCCTCTCCAAATCTTCCCTGAGTGGGAAAGGAAGGTTTATTTCTGATGCAGAGGAAGAAGAAACAGTGGGAGACCTGCTGAAGTAGGAAGAGGGGAAAGAAGGGAGGCTCGGTGGTGAGCTGATTTAACTTGATCTGATTTCCCCACTGATGAGCAGTAAGTTTACTGGAAATGTTCACTGTTATGCTGCAATGAATATCTTCACATTAGTAAATCTAGGGCAGAGGATAAAGATTCTAAGTGCTTTCCAGAGTTAGATAACAGTGGAATGAAAAGTACCGGTTTTATCAGTGCTCTCCTAATTTCTTGTAATGTTAAGTCTCTTTGCAAAGTAACAAGGAACATAATATATTTGGATACTAGTTTTTTTGTGTCTGCCTCTTTTAGTCTCCTTACATTTTTCCCTAAGACATGGAGTAACCATGAAGATACAAAGGAAAAAAATCAGGACACATTTAAAATTGATGCTTTTTATTGTTTTAAACCAAGTAAGTGTCAGAAAATACATATATTGGGCAGGTTCTAGAAAGTGTCCCTTTTAATTCTATGTACTGGCTTAAGGAGAAAGAGCTGACACAATGGTGGAGTCTTGAAGGGAAAGCGTTCCTGGATCCACTGGAGAATGCTCTGTGGGAAGTCGTGTCCCTTGTAGGAAGAGTGTGTTGGAACCAAGTGGAGCCCTTTTCCAGATGCCCAAGGTGCCATCCTGAGTCGGGTGATTTGGGAACTCTAGGTCATAGTCCTTACCTGGGGTGCTCAGAGACACCTGGAGGAAGTTAATGTTCCCCTTTTTTTGTTGTCTGTTTCCTCACTGAGAAAGGAAGAACTGATGGGCAGGGGGCCAAAGTGACCCCAGCTTCGGAAATGGAGGGCACTTTGCTCTTTCATTGCTGGTCCCTGTGATATCACATTGATAGCACCCAATGTATAAATTTCCTGTTGGCCAGCATTGTGGTGCTACCAAAAGCATGGGGTAACTCAACTGTTAGGGATATACTAGGTGAACCAATTTACCCTAGGACCTGACTGTAAGCATAGACATTTCATCTGATTCTGGAATAGCAGAATTAAAAGGAGATCTTGGGCAAGGGGTGTAGCTCAGTGGTAGAGGGCATGCTTAGCAGGCATGTGTTCCATCCCCAGCAAGGGCGGAAGGGGGCTCTTGAGAGGCAGGTGCTCTCATCTTCCCAACCAGGCAACCGGTGCCCAGAGAGAGGCTTTCCCTAAGTTGGGAAGGAGCTCATGTTCCTGCTTCAGTATTCCCCATTTAAAAGCCCATTTCCATGAGATTGGGGCGCCCTCACTCTTGCACCAAGATTATGCAGCAGGTCTGGGGTAGGGGGAGGACTGTACAAAGAGCAAGGCAACTTGGGCGGAGCATGTGGCACTGTCCAGAAGCTGTACTGAAATCCCTGGCCTTTCTGAGCACAGGGCCCTTGACAGCCAGAGAAGCCTCCCAGGCAGCTTTGCTGGCCTCCAAGACTTAGGTTAAAATGAGGTTGAATAACTTCTCTAAGGCAATAAAGTTTAATGGGGCAACCCTTGTGACGAAAGTCAACCTGATTAAAAGAACACCTCACAAAACCCGGTGTAGTCACATTGCCTTCATCCAGTTCCTCAGTTGTTCTTTCCCATGTCAAAACATCTCTACGTGTGTTGTCCCCTTACCTGGACTACCTCCCCATCAACTAGGTAGGCCGCTTGTAGCCTTTCAGATTTCAACTCATGTCACTTCCTTGGGGAACTTTCTCTAGCTACTTCAAGTTGAAAATCTCCAAGTGCCCTACTGAGTCCAAGGCCAGACCACATGGTTAAGGTTTAACTCCCGCCAGACAGGAAGCACTGGAGTGCAGGGAGCAGGTGTGTTGCTCACCACTGCAGTTAGTCCAACACCTGATATGTTACAGAGACTCAGCAAATATTTACTGACTAACCAAATGAATGACTGCAGGAAGGCATATTACTCCAATTTAAAACAAATGATAAGACTGTCCCCACTTTATATGGCTGCTGCCATGCCATTTCACCACCACATTAAAAGGAACCAGACCAATCCCTAAGCTGCCACGACCCCTGCCTCTCTTACCTCCTCCCAAACACAAAAATAACATGCTAGGTTGTAAAATCCAAAGTTTGCTTTAGTGAGGAAGTGAAACACCTAAGTGGTTCACTTGGATTTTTCACTTTCTATTCAGAGAGCAGATTGGTTTATTGACTCCTGGGTAACCCAAGGTCAGGGAGCCGATTTGCCCTACAACAGGTCCTGCTTTGGGCACCATACTCTTCTGCCTTAATGGCAGCTACTTCTACCAGGCCCTTTCTGACAAATGCCTGTCTCCAAATGCCCCAGTGGATGGATGCTCATCGCCCCGTGTGTGTACAGAAAGTGCCCTTCCAAAGAAGACCCTCCCTGGTGCCCAGGAAGCCACAAGCTACCCACATACTGCCCAGCACTCACTGAGTCGGGGGGTACTTGAGGACTTGTGCCAGGCACTGTAGACAACAGTAACAAGCCCTTGGTTCCCCGGGGACTCTTCCCACAAAGTGAGTGGGGAGAAGGGAGCGAGCTGGCTTCCTGAGTCCAGTAGTTAAGTGTACTCATGTCCATCTCTGACAGGGAAGACTCGGTGTTACAGGAAAAGATTATTTCCTAGGTGACTGTGCAGGTAACCAAATGGATTCTCAGCAAACTAAAGGAGTCTTTTGGAATTGGTAATGCTGTTTGCCTCTGGAGAACAGGGGTGGGAGGGATGCTTTTTATTTCTAGTCTTTTGTGCCTTTTAAATTTTGAATCATATAAGTATCACCTAGTCAAAATATTTTAAATTCAAATAAATCAAACATAATGCTGCTTTTGGGCTGGGTGTAGGGGTGGCAGAGGGATCCTCCTGGTCTCAAGGCTGTGTGTGTGTAAGGCTCACCTAGAAACTGAGTCCTTTGCACCCAAAGCCAGCCTTTTCCTCCTAAGAACCAGGGCTCCTCAAACAATGTGCTCCATAACCCCTCAAATCACCTCAGGATCTAGCTTAGGAAAATGCGGGATCTGGCTTGGTGAGAGGGAGGGGGCTGACAGTGTCACCCAGCCCCAGAGAACAAGAGCAAAACCACACAGGCAAATGCACCTATCAGAAGGTCAGTATGGAGGTCAGTATGGAGGTCAGTATGGAGCTGAGCCTTCCCTGTCCCCTTTGCCATCTTACCTAGAAGCCCTTGGAATTGGCCTCTCTCCTCAGGAGCCAGCTGCCTCCTGACTAGTCCAGTCCTTTTCCAGTTACCTTCTTGGTCATCTTTAACTTTTATCCCTGGGGGAAGACCAGATATCCCCTTGATATTGTCCACAGCTTTTTCTGAGCAACTAACAGTCTCTATAGGAACTTGTAAAAGTCTCAGATAGAGGCCAGAAGAAAGCCAGAGTGGCCAGACCTGGTTGTGATGTCTCTGTTGGTTTTGAAGGGAGTTATACATGTCCCCCTCCCTGAGGGCTAGGTCAGCATCTTATTAAAGCATCTCTTAGATAGGGCCCAGCATCACCATGAAACATGTATCAGTGTTTACTGCATAGATGAATAAATGAACATCCAATAAGGTTCTCAGGAAAAATTAAGACACTCTAGTACCACTCAGGCCCCTGGCCTGCTCTCTTCCCTGGGTGCCAGCCCCAGGGCTTCTTCCTCTAAATCTGGGCCACTCTGGCTACCAGGAGGTTCTCCTCCTTACAAAAAAAATCTTATAGCAGGATCCCAAAGTGCAGGAGAGACGGCTGTTTCCAGAAGCCCCTGTCCTGTGCAGCCATGAGGATTTGTCTTCCCAGTTCAGAGCTGCAGACAGTTCTGGCCCCATCATCTTTGAATCTGCTCTCAGCCAACAGCTCTGGCTACGTCCCCACTGTCTGCAGGGTCTGCAGTTGCTGCATATTCACCTTTGCATTCTTTAGGATGCCAGTCCTGGGGGAAAAGGGGCAAAAAGAACTGTTGAGTCCTCTGTGGGTGGGTCCCCTCCCCCTCCCTAAGGGCAGAGGCATGCAGCAACCTCAACTGCTCACTGGCAGCCAGTGCGGTGGGCAGTCAGCATTTGGAGAAAGGGGCAACGGTCCCAAACACACGGAGGGCAGCAGGCCTCTACAGCCACTCAGCGGTAAGCGGCAGCAACTGTGGTGGGATCCGGGGCCCAGGCCCATGAGCACAGAGCCTCCCACAGCAATGGGGAAGACTGGGCCAAGATAAGCAAGATGGACATTGTTCCTTTACAGGGTACAGACGCTCAGATGGGTGCCCAGGCATTGACAGTCAGCTCAGGAAGCACTTGGAGGGCTGCCGGGCTGGAGACCTACCCTATCCAGGTCCCCCAGCCTCCACTGCCAGCTGGCCCTGCTGCTGCACCCCCCAGTCCAACTTTCTCTCCTCCCTCTGCTTCATCCCAAGCTATTTCTAGGCTCCTTCCCCACTGGGCCCAGCCCCCACCTGGAGGCTGCCAAACCCTGACTCAGCAAGGAATGAAAGCTGGGGGCTGGAGGAAAGGCCAGTCTGGGCTAGAGAGCTTCCTGGGGTGTGGTTTAAGGGGGTGGGGGTGGGCCAGTCACGGAGCCCTAACCTGAGTGAGTAGGAGCAGCCTCTGCCTCCAACCCCCCTGGGAAAAGAAGAAGGAAGAAGAAAAAGAAGAGAGAAAAGAAAGGGGGCCCAGAACGCAGTGAAGCAGAAGCAGATGGGCTTTATGCCGCGGCCCAGGTCTCCCTCCCCACCCAGGGCTGAGGTCACATCCAAAGAGGCCAGGCAGACCAGGCGTGCCCAAGTCCACAGAAGAGGGACTCGGGAGCAATCTGATGGGAGGTGGGGGCTGAGGGTTTGGCTGGGCAGGGAACCCGCTGGAGAACTGGACCCTAGAAACACCCTGTCTGGATTCACATCTCAGCTCTGCCATTTACTAGCTGCGAGATTTGAACCAGTTATCTAACCTTTCCGTGCCTCGATTTCTTCACTAGTAAAATAGGACGGGTTTGTGTCCACTGCGTTAAGTTACTTAAAAGAGTTTAAATATACAAATAGCCCAGGGCACCACAGGGCTGGGAGACTGCCGGGTGAACGGGAGCCCTGTTACTCTGTGGGGCTGGGACAACACAACAAGATGCTTGTTTGCAAGGGGGCCCAGGGGCTTGGGGAGCTAGTGGGGCTCTTGGGGACCTACAACAGCACCAGCACCCCCCCAACCCACGTTCAGCACTGAGGGGTCTCCAGGGTCCTGGACATTCGTCCACCATGAGTCGCAGCCAGTCCTCTCCGGCTCTGCCCGCAGCACCTTACCTGGCAGAAGGGGGGAGCTTCCCGCACATGGCACCGTTCCCCTTCCAGCCTCTGCTCTGTGGCGGGGCCGCGGGCTGCTCCTCCTGCCGCTCCCCCTCTGGCTGCTCCTCCTCTGTCTGCCTCTGTTCCATCGCCTCGTCCTCAGCCTCAGCCTCCTGGGCCGCATACTCTCGGGCCCTGGACAGGACACGATCCGTTACCCAGGGGACGACCCTGCAGGCCCCTCCTGAGACACTAGCTGAGTGGGCCCTGCCCTCATTCGTCCAGCAGTGTAGTCTGGGGCCAGGTCTGCTGCAGAGCAGCCAGGCTGGGTTCAGGTTGCAGTTGGGTCCCATTGAGGCAAACTAGCCGGCCCAGCTTGTGGTGAGGTTGACGAGGCGCCTAGGTGCCTGTCCTAGGTCCTCACTCTGATCCCAGCTCCTCCTGACAGCCTTACCCTTTCTGTCCACCCACAGACATCAGGGTTCCCCCCATTCTGTGGTGCACACACACAACCGCCCTCATGCACACAGTAAACCCACCTAAGAGACCTGAGGAGGCCCCTGCAGTGTTTGAAAAATCCATTTTTCCTTCCCTTACCATCCAGCTTTCCTCAGCCTTTACCCACCAGGACCACCAAGTCCAAGAATCCTAAAAAACCCTGAAACACCGCCAGAAGGTCCTCTATGTAACCAATGCTCTCATCTCGAAGATAAGAAACTACAGCCCAGGGAGGCCTGAGACTTTCCAAAGTCACACAGCAAGATGGGACAGAGCCTGTACACCAGGTCTCCTCCTGACAGCCTGGAGCAGCCTCTTCTTTGGGCTGTCCTGAGGTGGAAGCTAGTCCTGGGGAGCAGGTCTCAGGAGTATGCCACCTCCCCAGCCCTTCAAGCCTCTCCTCCGTACCCAGAATCCAGCACCCAGACAAGTAACAGCTCTAACCCCCTTCCAGTTTGGGGAGGAAACTTTAACTGACCTCACTTCCTCGTACTTTTTGTCACGGTAAAACTCCCTCTTTTTGATGATGTAGATGAGCACCAGGTCACAGAAGAAAGCCCCCTGCAAAAGAGTTGGGGGACCCAGACTCAGAACCCTAGGCTTCATACTATTTGATCCTGTAATGACCCATAAGTGGGGCACCATTTCCCCATTTAACACATGAGAAAGGGGCACCTAATCCAGGGCGATGGAGCTGATTCACGGTGGACACAGTTAAAAAGGAGTGCGTCCACCCAATCTCACAGCCCATGCTACACAGACCCCATCCAACCATTTCTTCAACACATTTTTTCGAGCACCCACTACACGGAGGAGGTGGAGCACAGAGCCGCTCTAAGGATCCTCCCTGATGCAGTGATGCATCCTATAATGGGGAGATGAATGGAAGACAGGACCTTACTCTGCCTAAAGAGGGATGCCTGGGCTGAGTCTTGAGGGCTGAACAGGAGTTTATACAAAGGCTAGAAAGGGCATTACAGAGGGAGGAGCAAGCTAATGTTGCCTGGGAAATGCCACAGGACATGCAGGGGAAGAGTGAAATGCACTTTTTAGAAGGGTGGTTGAGAATCAGCCAGTCTGAGAACATGCTACAGGAGTGATCAAGGGAGAGAGGCGTCCTGAGCTCATCCTGAACACACCACTTTAGCCAGAGCAGGCTGTGTGCAGTGCCTATCCTCTCCACCAGAGGGAGACTGTATATAGCACAGCATTGACATTCCCAAACATCACAGGGGAGGCCAGGAGGGGGCTGATGGAGAGCGTCAGGACTGGTAAACCTGGTCCCCAGAGGCCAAAAATGTCACTTACCAATACCTTGTTCCTCCTCACTCCCTCAGGCTCCATTACCACCTTTTCTCTGCACCATTACCTCCATCTGACAGGTGTGTCCCCACATGTTCAGATTTGCCCCACGTCATAAGAAATAGCATATACACACCTCTGGGGGTCCCTGAATAGCTGATTGCCGTTAGGAGGAATCCATTTACTGCTCATTCTTAATCACTCTCAGGAGCACAGCCTCTGAATTCTGTTACAGGACTCAGTTTTCCTGGACTCAATAAAAAGTCAATCCTAGGTTCTGACAGAATCCTCCAATGGGCTGCTGGGTCTGCTCATAGAGGGATGAGGGATGAGGCTGCCAGAAACCTTGGAAAGGAACTTGCTGGGGTGGGGGTGAGGGGCCTACTGACCATTCCCATGTATTTAAATCCCTTCCAGAAGCACAAAGGGCATTCCAGGCATTTGGAGGGAATGTTCCCTGCCCCCAGCCACGACTTTCTCTCAGCTGAAGGACCACTTCTGAGGAAAGATGGCAGGGCTGTATCACCTGCCCCTCATCCTTTTAGCCCACTGGCTCTCAACCAAAGGGATTTCTGGGCATCACAACTGCAGGAAGGGAGCCACTGACATCCAGTGAGTAAAGAGCAGGGACTCTCTTAAACATATACAACCCATAGGACAGCACCCAAAACAAAGAATTACCTGGCCCAAATGTCCTTGGTGCCAAGGTTGAGAAACCCTGCGTGTATCCTTTAGCAGAAGTGGAGATGGAGACTTTAGAAGTTCAACCTAAGGTATCAGAGATTCCCCAACCCACACCATGGCTGGGACTGACCCACGAAGCTCCAGAGCAACAAGTGAGACAGGAGAGAAGGGCCTGAGGCTCCCCAAGAAGTGCTTTTCTTTTTCTTCCATGGCTGCCCAAACACCCTGCAGCCAGCTGGGTTATATCAGATGCCCCACAGCCACTCAAGAGACATCTGCTTTGGCTGCAGCAAGCTTTGGTCACAGACCTACCCCAGATGAACTCACCCTACAGCCTCTCTGTATAACCCTACCCTGCAGCCTCTGCAGATGATTCTGCCTCTCTGAAGCCCTCCTTAATCAGGTCCTAGAGGGAGCCCTCCCCGCATGGCCAAACACAAAGTCTTATACTCTGCAGGCACCAGTCATCTTTTCTTCCTATATAAACAACTTCTTCATACCCATAAAGGGTCATTCTGTGTAATGTTTCCCCTTATGCTGCAGCATAAGTTCTCATAAGGCCTCTTTTGAATGACATATTTTTGCTTATTTGTGATTTCTACCTCAAATAGAGCATGCTGAGCTAGAACACTAAGGGCTGGGAACACCAAAGTTTGCTGGCCACTTTCAGTGCCAGCAGCCAGGGCTGGCAATACTGAAGGCAGCCAGCAAACACAGAATGATGAAGAGCAATGGAGAATTGCCCAGAGCCGCCATCTCTGGTGGCTGGAAGAGTTCTGGAGGTGTGTAGGTGGCTCTTGCTTTAAGCGGCAGGGAGGGCTGCTAACACCAACAGCCAAGAGCTACTCAAATTCAAAGCCCAGAGCTGTTATCACTAAAGGAGCTACACTGCCAATCCATAATTTCTATATGAACTGAGCAAAAGAACCCTCAGCCAGTTGGTAATATCATGGTGGCCCATATGGGGACCCTCCCCTTCTGAGGACCCTGAAAAAGATGGACGACAGTGACAGTTGTCAGCAATGAAGAAGCAGCTAAAGAACTAGCCCATGTCTAATTTCCATCTTACCTAAGACTAGAGACCTACAGTAGCAGATGCCTCTGGCTCTGGAAAGAGAAACTTAGGCAGTCATTGCCGCCTGGGGGCAGCTGATGGGGCAGAAATCCCAGAAAGCCCTCTTTGTCCACATTCAAGCAGCCTGCAGTCTAGGGTATTGGGAGAGGTTCCTCCTGGGCAGCTAGTTATCTCCCTCTCCCTGCTCAGAACCTGTGTGTTGGGGGAAGTGTACTCACAGCACCCATGAGCGCCACCCCAGAGCCCACATTGATGATGGTGGGGATGATGCTGAACTTCCCTGCCTGAAAGACAGAGACACGGTGGGTGAGTGAGGCAGGAGTAAATAGCCACATCCCCAGGCTCTCCCACCTGCCTCGCCTCAGAATGCGAAGGCCACCCACACACCTTGCCATTAACTATCACATCAATGCGGATCCCGTAGGCTTTCATCAGGTTTCGGAACTCCACCCCAGCTGAGTCTCGGTAGTATCTGGCAAACCTGGGGGAGAAAGGGCCTAGGAAAAGCCACAGCCTGCCTGCACCTTCCCTTTTTGGGAGCACAGATGTGGCTGCTTTGGGAACTTCTACGCACTCCCAGGATACCGGCTCTCAGCAGCCCTAGGAGAGGGCCACAGACCGCCCTCCAATAAGCCAACTACAGAGAAGCATCGGAACCCTTCCCCAAGGTACCAGGCCTTTCCCACTGCAGGGAGCCCACCCCTGGGGCACCATGGCAAGAGCAGGGCAGGAACAGGCATCTTCTCCTGGCCAGAGGTGTTCGCTATGCTGTCCTCGCCAGCCACTCTGCAGGGTCCTCTCCACACCTTAGCTGTCACTCCTGAACCTCCTGTTCTGACACCCGCCCTAAGGCAGGGGTATCACGGTGCTGTTGCCCAGAGAAGGACACCAAACAACTCAGGGCCACAAAGTGGCACAAGGCAGCAGTTACCTGAAGTTGTACCCAGAGGAGACAGATTTTGCATGTTTGTTGTCCAGACGGTTAAAAGAATAGCGTGGATGGCACTCAGAGGCAGCTTTATCAAGGTCACAGTTCCATTCAATATGAATTCCTATCACACCTCCCTTTATGTAAGAGACAAGGATCAGTGCCCAGAGCTATCTGGAGACAGACAGAGACCAGCCCTTTACCAGAACTGAACAAGAAGGAGGAAGGGCTCAGGCCTGAGGTGCCCTCAGACCAGCCTTCGGGGAGGTTCTAGCCCTACCTCTGGAGGCTAAGAAAGTTGCCCCACCCAGCCCATGTCATCTCCCTTCATTCTTCAGGACAGCAGGGAGCTAACGACTTTACAGACAGGCATTTGACAAATGAACCAGGATGTGCCCATGGGCTCCTTCTGACTCCATCTGAGCTGGTGGCCTAGTGAGCTCCTGGAGGCAGGTGGCTTTGCAGGGCCACCCTTACCCTATAGTGTCATCACTGCAGAGCCCAGGTCCCAGGGACAGCACCCTGAACACACACCACTCACCTCCAGGGCAATGTCCTGGAAACTGCTCCCTGCCCACTGGACCACAGAGCCCAGCCGGAAGATGGGGCAATAGTGATTGTCGGGCCCAAAGCGACAGGATTTCAGAAAATCTTTGTTCTTTGTTTCTAGTACGTTGGCCCTGGGTAGAAGCCATGAAAGGACGATGAGTCAGTGGCCCCTCATCCTACCTAACTCCCCCTCTCTCACATCCTATTCTCAGTGAGAACCGAGATGGAGCCCGCCCCCACAGCAGGGCCACTCTGAGGTCTGGCCACAGCAAGCACTACATAAACATCACGTGCATGCACCCACACACATCCCCAGGGAGGCCCAGCCGAGGCCTCGCCCCTGGGCCCCAGTAGCCAAGCCCCACATACTTGGAGAAATTGAACTTGGGGAAACGAATATAGTTCTTTATGAAAATGGTGAAGTCTTCAGCGTCCCTCAGGAGTGGCTTCCTGAAAAGCAGTCCAGGACAGCCTGAGCAGGAGCCCTGCCCCAGCCCCTCCACACCTCCCCCGGGCCTATTCCCTGGTTGCCTGGAGCCTTTGTCAAGGACCATTCATTTGCTTGTGTTGGGGTGGTCCCTGGGCCTCTCTGGGATGCCCTGACAGCTCCCTCAGAATGAAGCTCCCCTAGGACTGGCATGTCTCCACCCTCAAGCTGGACTCTGGCTGGCAACTCCGTAGAGGCCTGAGGCCGCAGCCACTCACTTGGGCCTGGACTGCATCTCCACTGGGCACCAGGCAAAGATCTCACAAGTTCCCCTGGTCGAGTTCCCCACCCGAAGGCAGCGGCCAGTCTTCACTCCTGCAGGGGTGATAGGGACAAGGCCAGGAGCCTCCCAGCCCCAGGCTCCCTGTAACCCTCTCCAGCAATGGCCATCCCAGCCCTGGCCCTCACCATTTCCAGCTATAACAGGCTCCCCGGCGTGGCAGTTTTTGTCCTGAGAACACATGCCATCAGGAATGCCTTCACGCTGCCAGGAGAGAAAGGTCCCTGCATGGGGGGCCCCTGGCTCAGGGCCACATCCCACCCAGGGGCTGGAAGAACTCCTTCCTGGCCTGGACCACACACCCTTTGAGAGCCTGCTTCTCCCCCCACCCCCCACCCACAGTGTAGGCACATACACGGGTGCATACAGACTCCAGGGACCCTTGGAACATGCAGAAGTCCTGGCTTCAGGAAAAGGGTCAGCCCACTGCAGCTGGCAGCTCCCACACCCTCCTCTGCTCCCCATGCCAAATCAAACCTCGGCACAGGTGCTCTGCCGCTGGTTGGAGGTCACGATCAAGTTGGTGATCACAAAGAAGACGTTATCTCCCTGAGGAACCACAGAGGGGTTGAGGAACCTCCTCCTACCCTCTTGGGGACCCTCCTTCCCAGGGCTGCCTGGCAAGGGCTGGGGCCTCTGCATGCTGTTGGGGAAATGGGGCCATGAAATCGGTAGAATTTGCCTACAAACCCCAAGTGTGCTCACCTCTTGAATCTCTATTCTGATCATACCCCGAGTCTAAGCCTAGACCTGGGAAGAGAAGGGGCAGTAATGGAGTTGCCTGGTCATCACTCGAGAGCACTGAACAGACTAGGGAGCTATTCCCCGGGTCACTAGCATGTAAGGGATGGGTTCTCTGTCCCAAGTCATCTGATCACAATGACCTGAAAGTTTACTGGGCCCCATGTGGTCTCAACAGACTCAGACAACTGGGAACAGATTTGGCATGCCAGGCACAGAAAAGGAGGGTGGGGGGTTTGGCCTGGGGAAAGGTCTCTGGCCAGGGCTTCAATCTACATCCTGGACCAAGAGAAACAGTGGATAGAGGTCCCAGGGCACCCGCACAGCTTCCTGTGTGACCCACCCCAAGCCAGGCCCCACGAGCTTGGGCACCAAGGCAGGGCTCACACCTGGGGTGGGATGACATAGTCCACGACATCCCAGAGATGCTCCCCAAGCTCCGAGGTGTTGGTGTAGGCCACGCCCTTGACTTTGGTGACAACAGCACTCTGCAGGGAGGTGTCAGTATCTTGATAACCCTTCTTTATCACGAACACCCATCTGCAGGAAGGGGTCAGCAGGTGGGCATCAGCCACACTGCTGCCCTTGGGGATGTTTCCCTGGGCCCAGGCCAGGGTGGGAGTCACAGCAACTCTGAGGTAAGGTGGAGCCAGGCTCAGAGCTCCATCTGTGCTACCAGCTCTTGGGCAGGGTCACAGCCTCCACTGCTGCCTGAAATCCAATCCTGTGAGCAGCAGAGGCAGCAAGCAACTCCAGATGCAGAGGCTCTAAGGAGGTAAGGCCGACTGGTCTCTGAAGCGGGCAGGCTTGGGCTGAAACCAGCTGAGCCTTGCACTGGCTACTGACCCCAGGCAAGTTGGTCAGGCGGGGAGCATGCGTTTCCCAATGTGACTGGGTACCAGTGCCTCTCACCAGATGGAGACAGATGGTGCATAACCTGGAACCAATCACAAGGCACCCTCAGAGCAGCCCAAACCTAGGGGCAGTCTGTGAAATAAGACCACAAAATCCTGTATTCCTTGGTCCCCAAAACACAAGCAGAAAAGCAAAAATAGATAAGTTGGTGCTTCATCAAAATTAAAAACTTTTGCCCATGAACAAAGTGAAAAGGCAACCTACAGAATACCTCGTCTGAGCCAGGTGTCCACAAGTTCCAGGCCAGCCTGGACTACATAGTGAGTTGAAAGCCAGGCTGACCTGAGAGGCCCTGTCTCAATCAATCGATCAATCAATCAGTGAAAGGACTACCTTATCTGATAAGGTCTAGTATCCAGAATATATGAAGACTTCTTAAAATTCAACAATTAAAAACATAAGCAATCCAGGGTTTTTTTTTTTTCATTTTTTTAATTTTTTGGTACCGGGGATCAAACTCGGGTCCTTGCACTTTCGAGGCAGGTGGTGGAATCACTGAGCTAAATCCCCAGCCCAGCAATCCAGTTTTTAAATGGGCAAAAAGCTGGATACAGTGGCACATGCCTGTAACCCCTACTATTTGGGAGCCTAAGGTGGGGAAAGCATGGGTTCTAGTCCAGTCTGGGTAATATAACATGATCCTGTCTCAAAAAAAAGGGGGGCAAAGAATTTGATTAGACATTTCTCAAAATAAATTATCATTAGGGAAAGGCAACTCAAAACCATGATAACACTTCACTCTCATTGGGACGACTGGCTCAAACTTGAGGTAATCCTCCTGTCTCAGCCTCCTGGGTGCTGAGATTACAGTTGTGCACCTCCACACCCAGCTTAAAGTAGTATTTTTTTAAAAAAATAAATAACACAGATTGGCAAGGATGTGGAGAAGTTAGAATCCTCATACATTGTTAGTGGGAAGGTAGAATGGTACAGCTACTGTGAAAAATGGTCTGGAAGTTTCTCAAGAGGTTAAAGACAGAGCTCATATATGACCAGGCAATTCTACACCTAAGGATATACTGAAGAGAACTGAAACCATGTCCACACAAAAATTTTATGAGAATAGTAGAAGCATCATTGATAATAGTAAGTGGAAATAATTCAAACGTCCATCAACTGGTGAACGCATCAACAAAATGTAGCCTATTTATAAAATGGGATATTATTTAGCCAGAAAAAGGAATAAAGTAAGGACACATGCTACAACAGGCCAGGCCTTGAAAACACTATGCTAAGTGAAAGAAATGAGGCCGAAAAGGACCATGTATTGTATGATTCCATTTACATAAAGTGTCCAGAATAGCAAATCCATAGAGACAGAAAGCAGATTTGTGGTTGCCTGGAAATGGAGGTGAGGAGAATTGGGACCGACTGGTAATAACTTCAGGGTTCTTATTGGGGTGATGGAAATGTTCTGGAATTAGGCAGTGGCGATGGTTCTACAACATCGTAAATGTACTATAAAGCACTTAATTGTATCATTTTAAATGATTAAAATAGTATATTATATGCTATGTGAATTATATCTCAATTAAAAAATAGTACAAACATCTTTTATTCTTCAAAAGATCTCAGTGTTGATACAAAAGAAGACTTAAAGACAATTCTCATTTAAAGAAAACTAAGAAGACATGAGAACTGGGTGCAAGGCATGACTTCAGATTTTCCTTTGCCATAAAGGTAATTCTTGGAACAGTGTACAAAAGGTCTGTAGGTGATATAATATTGTTTAATGATAATTTCCTGATTTTCATACTTGTACTAGCTAAATAGGAGAATTCCTCCTTTCCCTGCCATGTGGGGATGCAGCAAGACAGCCCTCACCAGAACTGGGCCATGCTGGCACCCTGATCTCAGACTCCTAGCTTGTGTAGGAACAAGTTTCTGATGTCTGCGATCCACTCTTCCACGGCTCAGGAGAAACTGCATAGATATGAACAGGCACACAGAAAGGGAGAAGGACCATACAAATAGCAAGATGTTAACATCTGAGGATTCTTGCTCAAGGGAAATAATTTTTGTGCTATTTTTATATCTTTTATGTGGATAAAGAAAGTCAAAACACAAAAGATATTTTAAAATGAGATAGCACATGTCAACTGCTGGCATAGAAGAGCTCACTGACGCATTGTTGCTGTTGGTGTGAGAGATTGTCCAGATTAACCCTTCTGGTAGGCTTGGGGAAACTGAGGCAGAGAGTGGGAAGGAGGGAAGCCACCTGCCTGAGGTCATGCAGCAGTGGCGTGGGATACTGGCACTTCCCAGGGTGCCAATGAAGGTTCTGGGTACAGCAGGTGCCCACCAGTATGTGCCCATCTCCTCGTCTCTAGGGCAGTACCGAAGTGCCCTGAACCCTAGGCTGCCACATCACCGAGGAACTCTGAGAAGGCCGTGGGCCCGGGCAAACCTGCCATGTTAGGAGGGACCTGCTGGGCCTGGTCCAGGCAGAAATATTCAAGATGAACCTTCACTAACTCATTCATTTCACACTTATCCCTTAGTGAGATGATGCCAGACCACCTTCATGGCATCCCCAGACTGGTGGGGGATAGAAACAAACACCTCCACAAACACAAATTAGCTTGTAGTTAAATTCCCTGTGGAAATGCCAGGAAAGGAAGCAAAGGGAGTTACTTGAGCACTCTGGTCTGCAGGATGAGTGGGCACTAACGAGTCAAAGAAGAGCATGCCTGGCTAAGGGACAGAATACACAAAGGCCTGGAGGTGGAGACGGCAGGTGTCTTAGGGACGGAGGTCAGGGGATTCTGAGTCCCAGGCTCTGGGAGACAGCAGGGAGCTGCCAAGGCTGCCTCCCCAGGAGGAAATAGGACCACCAGTTCCTGCTAGGTGGGACGGGGGTGCGGGAAGTGGGCCATAGAGCTGGGGGATTAAAGTCTCTGGAAAGAACTCCAGCCGGATACAGGAGAGGGGTCACGGTCACGGGTGGGTGAGCTGACCGGAAGAGAGTTCAGGGACACTCCAGGCTGATGAGTTGTCCCCAGCCCAGAGTAAGACACTGACCTTCAGTGATTATAAATAACCTACCAGGTGCCTGGGCCAGCTGTCAGGCCGGGGGCCCAGGGAGGCCTCTGGGGTGACAGCTGCAGCCTAGCCCCTCCATCCCTGCCCCTTCCCACGCCCCTAACACGGGGGGTCCAGTCCCTGGGGAAGGAGCTGCCCACGGACAGCCTCATAAATCAAGGATCCCAGAAGCCCCTGCCCAGAGCTCATCTCCAGAGCCGGCGGGGAGTAGAGGGTCCCTGCATACCCCCACCGTTTCGCCCAAGGGCCCAAGGAGGGTCCCCTCCTCCGGCGGAGATCTCGGGAAAGCCACATGCAAAGTGCAGGACCCTGGAGAAGGCCTGGCCACTGGGCCCCTTTCGCCGCCCCCTGTCCCCACCCCTCCCCCAGCTCGCGAAAGCGCCGGGACTCACACGACCAGGTACAGCAGGATGGTAAGCTGCAGCAGTCTGTAGAGCAGCCCCACCTTCTTGTTCTTGGCAATCACGTACTTTTCGGTCTTGTAGTCGAAGGCCGACTGGAAAACCCCCTTCCAGCCCGCCTGCCCCATCCTGCCGGCTCACCGGGCCTGCCGAGCGCCCAGCCCCACGTGTGGCGCGTGGGAACCGCCCCCTCCAGTGCCTGGGGCCAGCGGGGCGCCCTAGGTCGGCGCTGCCGCGGCCCCGGGCCGCACGGCTCCAACCGACTCCGGAGGGCGCCTGGGCTGCGGGGCTGCGGAGCCGCCGCAGGGAGCCGGGCTGCGGCGAGCGCAGAGCTCGGACTGCGACCTTCCCGCCGCTGACGATGACTCGGTGCCACCGCCGGACCGCCCTCCGCAGCCACTGGTCTGCGCGGCCGCCCAGCTGTGTGCCACCGCTGTGCAGGAGCGAGTAGGAGAGGAAACGAAAAGAGGGAAGGGCCCCTTTCAAGCCACCCCAGCCCTTTCTCACTGCTAAGGAAACTGAGGCCAGGCGTGAGAGGAAACTGCTGCACAGGAAATTCAGGTGAGGAGGAGCTAAAGAACATTCACAAGTAAACAGGTTTCTTTTTTATTTTCTCGGTATTGGGGATCAAACCCAGGGGCTATCGCGTGCTAGGCAAGCGCTCTACCACCAGTTACAATCCCAGGGCCACCCCCTCCTCCTCACACACACTTCTTTTGAAGTTAGGATCTTCCTGCTTCACCCCATGAAGTAGCTGGGGTTACAGGCATGTGCCACCATGCCTAGCTGGACAGGTTTCTTGATTGACCTCGTGCCAAGATCTCCTGGGAGGTAGATCTTTCTTGCTGTCTGGTGAAACTCTGACCCTCTCACCCCACAGGCTGTCAGAGACTTGTCTGGTGGCTGCTGGTGTCCACTGGAATCAAGTGGGCATTTCTCCCGTAGCTGATGCTAAACCCCACACTCCCAGAGTTAGTGGCCAATGAGTCACGAGAGCCCACAGTGGATGGGGTGGAGAGACACAGAATCGCAAAATATGCCTGGAGTCAGACTGGTTCCCAGAGCAGGAGACAGACCTCATGCAGGCTGCCCTCACATAGTGGGAAACCGAACAGATGGTGGAGGAAGTGGGGGAGAGCTTTATTTTGGCTCACAGTTTCAGAGATTTCGGTCCATGGTTAGCTCTGGCTCCAAAGCACAAACACCAAGGTGGAAGGGTGTGGTGGAGGAAAGCTGCCCACACTATGACAGCCAGGAAGCAGAGACCACAGAAAGGACCAGGACCCACATATAGTCTCCAAGGTCATACCCCACCCCATGAGCCACCCAGACTACCCCGCAGTGTGCTTTACTTAAATTTAGTAGGTGTCACTCCAGCCAGTCAAGTTGACAATCAATATTAACCATCACAGGAGGCAGAGACTTTTTTTCAAGGCTGGGGATGAGCTAGGCAAGTGCTCTACCACAGAGCTACAGCTCCAACTTGTCTTCACATCTTTCCATCAATTCCAACTCAACTGCTGTTTCTTCAAAATTTCTTCTCCTATCATCCACTCAAAGTAGCCCCAATTGTACTCCCATCACTTTCTATCCCATGACTCCATCTTGTTCCCATAGAGCACTTGTCACCATCTGAAATGACCTCACTAACTTATTGACTGTGTCCGCCACTAAAACCAGAGGCTCCAGGAAGGGAAGGACCTTGACTGTGCACACCTCTGTATCCTGTGCCCAAGGCATCACAGTTCTGTACATATGTGCTGCATGAGTGAACAAGCCCAGGCCTGGTTTTGGGGGGGTTTTTTTAGTTTTAAATAACTATTATCAAACACACACACATACAAAAATTAAAACCATTCAAAGAAGAACAATGCAAGGGAAAAAACTACAATAATATTCAAATACAGTAGAACTCAACCAAAACAAAACTGAAAAGCACTTAAACATTTTTCCATA